AAAACTACTGCAGAAAAAAATGGGAGATGTTGATAGACCTAAACTACAAACTTGGGTAAATCAGCATCATCTATGCCGAGTCCCAATAATATATCAGTGCAAACAGCTGGGGGAGAAGGGAGTCTTGGGTCCTTTTCATTCTATCTAAACAAATTGCTACTGGCAAGAAGTGTTTGAGTCACTGATTATGTAATGACAAGAAGAAGTAATAATACAAGCTAAATTAATGCGTGCTTTGCACTTTGCTAAGTGGCATTTATAATGTCATAACTTGCATCATTGTGTTAATTCGCATGACAACCCTACAAAGTGGGCAGTACTGTGACCCCATTCACAGACGAGAAGACTGAGACAACGTGACTGTCAGTGTGGTGTGGGAATTTGAGCTGAAACCTGCCAGATTCAGCTTTCTACCTTGGTGTTCTCTGGTGTTCTCTCACTTACTATCCTCTCAAATCAGACAGGATGATCCTTATGATAGAAGGTAACCTAACCTCAGAAAGAATGTCATCCATTCTGCAATTCACAGGTGAGGAAAAGGAGGCATGGAAACACTGAATAAGTGTCCCAAGTACTTGCTGTTTATTAATGCAGAAACTGGGGTTTGAACCCAAGCACTCTTCCTCCAGAGAGCCTTTTAATTAATACTGCATTACCTGCCTTAAATAAGGTAAAAGGTCTTCTTTTTCAGTGGGCTGAACATGCAGAGGGGAATATGCAACTCCCCCACCCCCTACCAAAAAAGAGTCACTTAGTTAAAACAGAAACATCCACCATGTCTAAGAAAAACTCCCGTGTTCAACCTCCAGATTTCAGCTCAGGTGCAACGTACAAATCCACCACAGCTTTGAAAACATCCGCTTTTCTTACACTTGTATGTTCACCAGATGAGTTAGGACTTTAGAGAAACAAAAATCATTTCAAATCACTGTTCCCCTTATTTAAGGCTAGAGCTTAAATTGTTTAAATGTTTCACGTGTGTAAGGGAATTTTAAAACTTGAGGTACCTGAGAAGATCTGAAATGGCCGCCTCGAGGTTTGAGTGCAACTCCTCTGTAGCTAGTTCTGTTTCCACTCGAGCAACATCCATTGTCCATGCTGTTTCTAAGACAGGAATGTCTGGTAATGATGACATAACTACACTGTGACACCCCCTTGTCACATACCCTTGTAATTACCACACTGTAACCAATCTAAGAAAGATACATATATCCTTTTAAGCCAATCACCTTAAGAGCTTGCAATACAGGAAGTCCTTCCCTATGAGTTCCTGCCACAGGAAGTCCAGCCTTAAAAATGATGTACTACCAATAAGTAACGTCTTTCAATGATCTAAGCCTATAATTACCAATCAAGTGATGTCTTTCACTGATCTAAGTTTGTAAATACCAGTCAAGTACTGTACTTCAGGTCCTTTGTTTCCCCCTTATAAAATGTCACTGTTTAGTCACCATATTGGATTAATGGATTCTACCACATGGAGTTCAGTCTGTTCCCAGCCGAGCTCTCCTTTCTTTCAATACATCTCTCAATTTTACATTAATCAGAGTACAAAGAGTTACTCTAGGACACATGGTTTCTACCAAACACCTGAAACGAATAAAATATAGAATTTAAAATTCTTATTACAGTATCTGAGTCTTGGTGGCATAGTGATTAAAGTACTCAGCTGCTAACCAAAAGGTTGGCAGTTCGAACCCACCAGCTGCTCTGAGGGAGAAAGATTTAGTAGTCTGCTACCGTAAAGATTACAGCTTTGGAAACCCTATGGGGCAGTTCTACTCTGTCCTATAGGGTCACTATGAGTCAGAATAGACTCAAGGACCAACAGGTATGGTTTTTGGTAGGTATAATCTGAAGCAAGGAGCCCTGGTGGAGCAATGGTTAAGTGCTTGGCTGCTAACCAAAAGGGTGGCGGTTCGAACCCACCCAGCAGCTCCACAGGACCTGTCGATCTGCTTCCGTAAAGATTACAGCCTAGGAAACCCTATGGGGCAGTTATATTCTGTCACATGGGGTCACTATGAGTCAAAAATGGACTCAACAGCACTCAAGGACAACCACATTAGCTGGCCCACCACCTGTTTGTAAATAAAGGTCTCTTGAAACCCAGCCATGCCTGTTTGTTCAGGTATTCCTATGGCTGCTTTCAAACTACAATGACAGAGTTGAGTGAGTAGTTATGGAAGAGATCCCGTGGCCTCAAAGCCTGAAGTATTTATATTCTGGTCCTTTTTAGAAAGTTTGCTGACCCTTGAGGCATCACGGCTTAGGGGTTTCCAGGCTCAAGAATCAGATTGCCTGGTGTTATGGGTTGAATTGTGTACCTCAAAAAGGTATGTTGAGTCCTAACCCCTGCTCTACCTGTGAATGTGGTGGTTTGGAAATAGGTTTTTTCTGTGTTCTGTTAAGGAGGTCATATTGGAGTAAAGTGGGTCCTAAACCTAACCTCTTCTCAGTGATGTTTTATAAACAGGGAAGGCAGCCAGGGAGAGACACAGGAGGAAGACACCATATGAGGGTCCATCTACAAGCCAAGGAACACCAAAAAATACCTGCAGATGCCAGAAGCCAAGAGACCAGGGAGGTCTTCTCCTACAGCAGATAGAGCATAGTCTAACTGAAGCCCTGAATTCAGATTCCTATCCTCCAAAAGTATGGAACAATAAATTCCTGTTCATTAAAGCCACCCACTTGTGGTATTTTTGTTACAGCAGCACTAGGTAACTAAGGCACATGGGTTCAACTATGACTCTACTATTTAGTAGCTAGAAGACCGTGGGCATATTATTTAGACTTCTTGAGGCACAGTTTCCCCATCTGTAAAGTGGAGATAATAACTGCACTCATCTCGTATAGCTATTGTGGGGATTAATCAGGATAACACAAGTAAAGTACTTAAGCCCAGTGCTCGGCAACAAATAAAAGCTGCTGGGATAACGTAATAGAACTACGACTCTTCTCTGTAAATGTGTTACTTAAAGTTCCTAAAAGAGGTTCTCACTTGTAGTTAACTACTTTCAGAAACATCCCTGTGCACATTCATTAGCTTTAGACTTGCTTCAGCAAGTCTGACTTCATTAAAATTATCATTAATGCTTTCATTCCATTTCCTTTATCTGCTTCTTCGACTTAATCCCCCATGTTGGCTGCCAACGCCCTGGGAATCAGGGAGAACCTCTTGTGAGACAGTCTTAGAGGATAAAGAAAAGAAAAGAAAAACCAGATAGAGTCAGAAAAATGGACAAGGAGGGAATTAAAATGTGCATGGGGGACCAAATCTTTAAATGATGAATATGAATACATGGAGAAGTAGTTTGAGCTAAAATGATACAAAAAATAGCTACAGGGAACCCAGCTAAAGTACCAATGCATTCCTGTGAAGCCGTTAGTACTAAACCATTTATATGTCCCTAATCCACTAATTAATTGCTAGCTAAATTCAAGCCACCTCTCTCCAATATTTCTCAACTCCTGAGAAAAACACGTTAACTAGTAGTGTCCTTGGAAATCCCAACTAATTTAGCTACAAATAGGAATTTAGCTAGGTGGATTTGGATTTTATCCAGGCCCTTGGGGGACTAATGGGTGTCAATCTCCACTTTGAGAAATTATGCACTTTTTTGGAATGAGTGTAAATGAAAAGGAACTATTTTATGGCTCTTTTTTGGGGTTTAACAAAATTTTTTTTTTTCTAGAAACTACATGGTAGTACTGTCTAGTGGAAATATTGCTTTTGAAAGGGGCTAACATAGTGCCTGGAACGGAGAAAGTACGCAATCAAACAATTCCATCCCAAGGGTACAAGTTTATTTATTCATTCATTCAACACATATTTATTAAGGATCAGCTATGTGCTAGGAACAATTCTAGGGCCTGATTTAGCAACAAGAAATACAGAACATCCAGCTACATTTGAATTTCAGATAAACAATAAGTAATTTTTTAGTATAAGTATGCCCCATGCAATATTTGGGACATACTTACACTACAGACTTATTCATTGTTCATCTGAATAAAATTAACTTAGTGTCCTGTATTTTGTTTGGCAACTCTACAGGAAAATGGGGGCATGAACAAGATAGACACCTTCTCTGCTACCTCATGCAGTTTTACCGCAACTGATCAACACACTCAGCTGCTAACCAAAAGGCTGGAGGTTTGAGTTCACAGAGGCACCTCGAAAGAAAGTCCTGGCAATCTACTTCTGAAAAACCAGCTATTGAAAACTCTATGGAGCACAGTTCTACTGGGATGCACATGGAGTTGCCATGAGTTGGAATTGACCCCATGGCAACTTTTTTTTTTTAATTTCAGCGTTCACAAGGCTGAATTCCCATATGGCACTTCCCCAGTGAGAAAGCCTGGGAGATATAGTGACCTACTCTTTAATAACACATATCCTCTGGGGGCCCATTTAGGAGGTGTCACTCTCTATTGTAATTCCAACGTTATTTCCTTGTCATACTCCTCTGGACTTAGGACCTGTATCTTTTTAGCTCTACACCCCTGGCCTTGCACACAGCGCCTGGCACTAGCAGATGCTCCGTTTAGACCTTAATGAGCGACTGAGCAAATGTATAAATGGTTGGAATTATATCAGACTTACGTCAAACACAACACTGAACCAAGCTCATGGCTCCCAAAGAAAATATTAACAAACTCTTCTGAAATACTGAGGAAATAGAGAACACCATGTAACATGTAACCAGAATATAAAACCATATGGGTGAAGAATGGTATTTTATTTTAAAATATTTTATGAAGGTATTCCAAACAAAATAAAGGCTTAAAAAAAAAAAAAAAAAAAGAACATGTGAGAGAGTAACTGTAATCCTACAAACCATACTAACAGGGCCTTTGAAAAGTCATTTTTGAACATAATGTATTACAGGCTGGAGTGAATCAAAGCATTGATTTAACTAATTGGTAATATAATAAAATAAGATTCCCAGCAGTTAACCAGAACCACAGTATTAATAACTGAGGAATACGGTATAAACAAATAAACAATTAAGAGCCGTTTTCTGTCAGTACTAATGTCATAGAATTGAAACACTCAGAAGGAAAATCACAAGAACCCACAAAAGGACAGATTCAGAGAAGCACAAGGGACACCGTATATACAATAGAAAATCATTTTGTGGCATTGACCCCTTTCTGTCCAGCTGTCAAAGAGGGAACAATAACAACAACAAAAAAATCAATATCTATAGAGCATGTTTCAATTACACTAAGGTTTCTTTAAAAAAGGGAAGAAAAAGAGAAAGAAAAAAACCCAAAAAAACAAAACCACAAACATTGTATTGCAGAGTTTCCCAATAACCACACAACCACTGAGGACTTGAAGCTTTTTTCTCCATCTCTTCCCTCGCTGTCATTCTGCGACCTCCTGGGTAGGTTGGTGGCTGAATCATCCCAAGCATGTTAATAACTCCTGGCATTTACTGTCAGTGCTCAGATCGGTAGGCAGGAAAAGTCTCTGTCCGATGAAGCTTCAAAGGGCTGGTGACATCTTTTCCAAAAAAGAATTGTAAAACGGCAGTTATATTTCAAGAAAGTCCACCATGAAATTAGTTGGTAACAAATTTCTATGTAACAGAAATAAATAGCACACTTATCATGACATAGGATATTTTTTTTTCCAACAGCCACCCACCAAACAAAAACCCATTGCCACTGATTCGATTCCAACTCATAGCGACCCTATAGGACAGAGTAGAACTGCTCCATAGGGTTTCCAAGTGGCACCTGGTGGATTCAAACTGCTGACCTTTTGGTTAGCAGCCAAACTCTTACCCACTACACCACCAGGGTTTCCAACACAGTGATACGCAAATAAGGGTCATATGAGAGATTGCAGGGTTAAAACATCATTTGTATGTGGCCTTAGCATTGAGCTATAGTTAGGTCATTAGCAGTCATTTTCCTCAATTTTTTAATCTGTGTCAACCACTATAACTGCAGTAATTAGGGGAGATGAGGTAAAAATACAGAACTCTGGAAACTTTTGGCTAGGACACTCTTTGGTGACCTAAACAGAAATAAGATATACATTTGTTTGTACAAATGCATCTGTTTATACTTAGATAATCTTGCTGTAAAGAAAGACTTCTTAAAATCCATTTGTTGTTGGGAGCCATCAAGTCCATGCCAACTCATAGCGACCCCATGTAACAAAGCAGACATGTTCTGTAGGGTTTTCTTGGCTGTAATCTTTACGAAAGCAGATCATCAAGTCTTCCTCCCAGTGAGTAGTTGGGTGGGTTCGAACCGCCAACCTTTCAGTTAGCAGCCAAGCACTGTTGTTGGGTGCTGTCGAGTTGATTTTGACTCATAGTGACCCTATAGGACAGAGTAGGACTGCCCCATAGGGTTTCTGAAGCTGTAATCTTTAGGAAGCAGATTGCCACATCTTTCTCCCACAGAGCCACTGGTGGGTTCAAATTGCCGAGCGTTTAACCACTGCACCACCAGGGCTCCAGCCGAGCGCTAGCCTTTACTATTTCAGGTTTAAGCGAAGTCAAAGGTTTGGGGAACTCGTGAAGGCAGCACACAAGGCCATTGGCAGTCCCCTCTGGGCAAATCGTAAAAGGTCGCCCTTGGAAGACATTTGATGTCTGGTTGTTAGGCTATCACAACCCTGGGGTTGACAAACTTTCTATAAAAGGCCACATACTAAATATTTTAGGCTTTATGGACCATGCGGAGCCCTGGTGGAACAGTGGTTAAGGCACTGGGCTGCTAATAGAAAAGTCAGCGGTTTGAACCCACCGGCTTCTCCACGGGAGAAAGATGTGGCAGTCTGCTGCCGTAAAGATTACAGCCTTGAAACCCTGGAGGGCAATTCTACTTTGTCCTATAGGGTCACTATGAGTCGGAATCGACTCAACGGCAATGAGTGTTTTTTTGTTTGGGTGGACCATATAATTTCTGTTGTAAATATTCAACTGTGCTGCTGTTGTCATACAAAAGTAGCCATAAATAAAATATAAATGAATGGACATGGCTGTTCTAATAAAACTTTATTTACAAAAATAGACAGTGGGTTGGCTATGGCCCACAGGCTGTTTGCCAACCTTTGTAGACATAATAGCTGGATTTTACCAAAACATGAAGCTTTACTGCCATCTGCTGGATAGGGTTACCATAAGTGAAGTAATGTCCGTCTGCTATGTGACTAGCTTTCAGGGCTGAGCAGAGGAGAACCTGGACAACTCTGTTCAGCAGCCCTGGAAACCATGCGTGTGAATCAACAGGCATAAAACACAGGGAGGTAGGGTTGTCAGCTTGTCATACTATGGTAGCCTACACGTAGCTGTAATGCCAGGAGTTATGCCACCAGTATCTCAAGGATCAGCAAGGTCACCATGGTGGACAGGTCTCAGCAGAGCTTCCAGAGTAAGACAAGACTAGGAAGAAAGGTCTGCCCATCTACGTCCGAAAACTAGCGAATGAAAATCCTATGGATCACAGCAGAACATTATCTGATATTGTGCTGGAAGACGAGCCCCCTAGGTGGGAAGGCACTCAAAATACGCGGTGGCCACAACACTGGATTCCAGCATGCCAGCATTTGTGCGGATGGCACAGGACAGGACAACATTCTGTTCTGTTGTACGTGGGGTCGCCATGGTCGGAGCTTGGCTCAGTGGCAACTAACAACAGGGTTGAGGCTAAATGGACATTATGTGTGCCATCTAAACACATTTAATTTTTTTTTTTTTTAATAACACTGAGCCAAGCAAAAAGGTTTTTGGTGGTATGGGCCCTTAAGGCTTACGTTTGTGCTCAATTACATTGTCACAAACAGCCCTTACCATGGCTGGACCTTAGTCCGTTTCTCATCTCATCCCCCTACCACAAGTGAGAGGAAGACCGGAACTTCTGACTCACTTTCCACTTCTGCAAAATGGGAAGAAAACATTTGCTTAAGCCCTCCTCAGAGTACTGCTGAAGGCTAGCGGAAACAAAGGGCTTCGTTAACTGTAACATCTCACATGAGTGACTTGTCACGCCAAGACCAAAACAACAGCAAAGGAAATCATGGATTCGGACATCTGCATACCTAAAATCCACATCATAAGGAAATTACATACCAGTCATATATTGTAGTCACTGGTACATACTAATAATTATTATTAGGGAAGTCTTGGATACTCAAATATCCCAAATGGCTAGAAATCATTTATTTGACTTCCCAGCCATTTTGAACATGTATTCTTTATCCAACACACACACGCTCGTGCACACACACGTGTGTACACACACACACTATAATGAAAAGGGATTGTAAGTACCTCCAGTAAAAATCCGGGTATATCTTTCTTACGGTTTGATAAAACTTCCCCTAGGGAGCAGACTGTGCCAAGAGTATTTATGTGAAATCCAAATATTCAGTCAAATCCAAAGCCCTTCTCTGCACCATCAGCGGTAGCTCCTTACACTCTGAGTTTGCAAGGAAAGGGACTGGTTGCATTCACTTGGGGTCAAGTCCAAGTGAAAACACTTGCAGCTTCTACCGTGCTGGCTAGTGGAATGCTTCCGGCTTGTCTTGAGTGCTGTTTTTAGCTTCAAGGCATTATAAGACTTCTCTACCCCTCCCACGTTTTGCAGTTCATACAAAAATCACACACTGTAGGCCAGATCTGGGCCCAGACCTGTTTTCTGGCCTGTACAGGCTCGCCCAAAATTTCTAAATGCTTGTCAATATTTACATAACTGCACACTTCCCATAAAGGTGCCGAGTTTCCTGTTTTCTTGGAAACATGAAGACAGCACTGATCCTATGCTCTGCCACCGCGTGATGGCTAGACGCTTCAGACTGTCCTCTTTACATAATGTCTGCGCTCTCCCTGCAATTCACCAGGGACACCTGCCCTCTTTCCCTCATTTGCTTGCCTTGCCCGATCCCTGTAGACATGTTTGTTTGAGAACCTGGTTTATTCATTATCTTAATCTACCATCCATGCAGTACATGTGATGGTATTAGAATCCATATTGAAGAACAATGTGAAGTTTTCCCAAGCAGTGAAGTGCTCCAAGAATCTGTTGTTGTTAGGTGTCGTGGAGCCGGTTCTAGCCCATGGCGACCCTATGTATAACAGAACGAAACGCTGCCTGGTCCTGCGCCATCCTCACAATCCTTGCCATGCTTGAGCCCATTGTTGCAGCCACTGTGTCAATCCATCTTGTTGAGGGTCTTCCTCTTTTTTGCTGACCCTCTACTTTACCAAGCATGATGTCCCTCTCCAGGGACTGATCCCTCCTGATAACATGTCCAAGGTATGTGAGACATAGTCTCTCTATCCTTGCTTCTAAGGAGCATTCTGGTTGTACTTCTCCCAGGACAGATTTGTTCATTCTTCTGGCAGTCCATGGTATAGTCAATATTCTTCACCAACACCACAATTCAAATGTGTCAATTCTTTTTTCGGTCTTTCCTCTTCATTGTCCAGTTTTTGTATCATATGAGGCGACTGAAAATACCATGGCTTCGGTCAGGAGAACCTTAGTCATCAAAGTGACATTTTTGTTTTTTAAGATTTTAAAGAGGTCTTTTGCAGCAGATTTGTCCAATGCAATATGTCGTTTGATTCCTGACTGCTGCTTCCATCGGTGTTGATTGTGGTTCCAAGTAAAATGAAATCCTTGACAACTTCAATATTGTCTCCATTTATCATGATGTTGCTTATTGGTCCAGTTGTGAGGATTTTTGTTTTCTTAATTTTGAGGTGTGATCCATACCGAAGGCTGTGGTCTTTGATCTTCATTAGTAAGTGCTTCAAGTCCTCTTCACTTTTACCAAGCAAGATTGTGTCATCTGCATATGGCAGGTTGTTAATGAGTCTTCCTCCAATCCTGATGCCCATTCTTCATATAGTCCAGCTTCTTGGATTATTTGCTCAGCATACAGATTGAATAAGTATAGTGGAAAGATACAACCCTGATGCATACCTTGTTCTGTTCAAATGATTGCTTCTTGGTCTATGTACAAGCTCCTCATGAGCACAATCAAGTGTTATGGAATCCCCATTCTTCACGATATTGTCTGTAATTTATTATGATCTACACAGTCGAATGCCTTTGCATAGTCAATAAAACACAGGTAAACAGCTATCATCCTTAAAACAAATATGTAAATTGAATGGGCAGGAACCAATCCTTAGGAGCTATTTCAATCTCGTGGCCCATGCCCTTGAATCACGCATGGTGGCAGGATTTCCTCCCACAGGTAAAACCATATGATAAAAGAAATAGCTCAGGACCCTGGTGGCCCAGTGCTTAAACACTTGGCTGCTAACCAAAAGGTCGGCACTTCGAACCTACCAGCTGCTCTGCAGAAGAAAAGACCTGGCAATCTGCTCCCATAAAGAGTACAGCCTAGAAAACCCTATGGGACAGTTCTACTCCGTCATATAGGGTCGCTATGACTTGGAATTGACTCGACGGCATCTAACAACAACAACACAACAGGAGTTAGAACAGCAGAGTTCTAATGCCCGTTCATCCACC